GGGGGGCAGGGGGACCCAGGGAGAGGGGAACACGGGGGGTGTCCCTGGGGATCCCGCCCTGGAGGCCACCATCAACCGCCACGTGTGACAGCCCCTCGTGTCCCCCACATATACCATGTCCTCGTGTCCCTCCAACACATACCAAGTCCCCACGCGTGACAGCCCCCCATGTCCCCCCAACACATACCAAGTCCCCATGTCCCCCCAACATGTGCCTTGTCCCCACGTCCCCACGCGTGACACCCCCTCTCCCCGTACCCCGCAGGCTGGCCCCGGCGCTGGGTCTCTCCCTGCTGCAGAACTGCGCGGTGCTCCTTTGCCGGGGGGGTCCTCCCTCCCCCTTAGACCTGGTGTCGGTGACCACGGCCTCGGGGACCCGTGTCTTCTCCTTCCTGAGCGTGGCCTGGGGGCTGGTGGCCGACGTGGACATCGAGAGCGAGCGGCTGCGACGCCTGGGACCGGCCCGTTTCGCTTTGGGGACCGTCACCCGCCTCCTGGCCCTACACACCTACAGGGGGCGCCTCTCCTACCTGCCTGCCGCCCCCCCCCGAAGTGCCACCGCCGCCGACGTCACCCCAGCTGGGGACACCCCAGCCCGGGACACCGGTGGGGACCTCCTCCTCCCCCCCAAACCCTTGCCCCGAGCTCTTTCCGATTTGGGGCTCTGCGGGGGGACGGGCAGCGGGCCGGGGACCCCCGAGGGGGAGGGAGGGGACTGGGGGGACGTGGGGGACAACACAGGACTTGGGGACAACCCAGGACTTGGGGTCACCCCTGAACCTGGGGGCACCAGGGACACCCCTCGGCTTGGGGACAACCTGGGGCTTGAGGACACCAGGGACAAGCTTGGGCTTGGGGACACCCCAGGGCTTGGGGACAACCCCAGGAAGAAGGGTGCTGCTGCTGGAGCCGTGTCAGCACGGGGGGACACCCCAACGCAGTGTGACACCCCAGGACACAGGGACGTGACGGCATGCGGGGACACCTCCAGCTCTGGGGACACCTGGAGTGACGGGGACGCCCCAAGGGATGGGGACACCCCGAGTGATGGGGCCACCAAGATCCATGGTGTCACCTCAACGTGTGAGGACACCCCAAGAGATGGGGACACCCCAAGTGATGGGGCCACCAAGATCCATGGTGTCACCTCAACCCCGAGCCCCAACGGCCCCCCCAAAGCCGCCTCCCCTCCCCCCTGCCTCCCCGGTGGCCCAGTTGATGACTTACTGGTGCCACTGGGCCAGCCGGTGCCCCCTGGCTGGGTGACTCTGGAGGGGGACTTCGTGCTGGTCCTGGCCATCTACCAGTCCCACCTGGGGGCCGAACTGGTGGCCGCCCCCCGAGCCCGCCCGGACGACGGCCTCATCCACCTCTGCTACGTGCGGGCGGGGGTCTCACGGGGGGCCCTGCTGCGGGTGCTGCTGGCCATGACGCGAGGGGGGTCGGGGGGGGACGGGGCCACCCCCGGACCCCCCCTGGCCCGTGTCCCCGCTCGCGCCTTCCGGCTGGAGCCCCTCACCCCCCGGGGGGTCCTGACGGTGGATGGGGAACGGGTGGAATATGGACCCCTCCAGGGGCAGATCCACCGGGGGCTGGCCCGGCTCCTCACCCCCCCCACCCCCTGAGTGGGGACCCCCCCGGGGTGAGGGATGTCGGGGGGGGGACCCCCAAAGGTGAGGGATATGGGGGGCCGAGGATGTGCAGGGGCAGAACCACACACACACCTCCCCCAGAAACCTCCAGAGGACCCCCAGGGCTGGGGGACATGGGGGGGACCCCCCAAAGGTGAGGGACACGGGGGGGGGACGGGACACCCCCAGAAGTGAGGGACATGAGGGGCCGGGGAGTGGGTGGGGTAGGGACCCCTCCAGGGGTAGATCCACTCTGGAGACCCCCAGGGGACCCCCTAAAGGTGAGGGATA